TGATGTATCAGCCTTCAAAACTAATCAAGAAATGATTCTAGAATATCAAAGATTAGAAAATATTTTTCAAATGAAACCACATATATTTACTTAATTAAAAACATCATTTTTAAATAAAATTTAATTTGTATTTAAACCATAATTAATAATTGTAAAAATTACAAACAAACAAAATAAATTAAACTAATATAAAAAAATAATATTATTCTCAAAAAAAATCTTATTATAATTGTAATATATTTTATGCTTATTAAAAAAAGAAATCATTTCTTATATTTATTTAATTAATAAATGATTAATGACTGCACTTAAATGATCATCATGTTTATCCTAATTAGCTTTATATCACTTTATTTGTAACGTGAATACTGAAATAAAAAAAATACTAGCTAGTTACAAATTAATATCTGATCATTATTTTATGATAGATCTATATATCTTTTACAATTACATAGTTTATTAAATACTACTATTATTCTAAATGATAATCTAATAATAAAATTTCAAAAGAAAATTGTATTTTTTTCATTTTTAATTCAATTAAATAAATTTTTATGCTGATAATAATCTAGAAATAATATATCTAATCTTATAAATTTTTTGGTAGATTCTTTCATACTAATATAATATTCAAACTAATATATAAAATTTTTGAATTTATCACAAAATCTAAAATTTTATTAAAGAATTAAATATTTGAGTATTTTGCAATAGAAAGAAAAAAATTATTAAAAAAAAATTTTTTTTAAATTAATATTAAATTTATAATTTATTTTTATTAAAAAAATAATATTTATCTTATAAAGTAAAAATTTTTTTTTAGTATTTTTTTTTTTTTTATGCAAAATGCTTATTTATCTAAAACTAAAAAATTTAAATTTATCTGAATTTTATTATCTAAAATTTTTTTACAAGTTAGATTATATGTAATATATTTGTAATTTATATAACTTGATAATCTTTATACATAATAATTTTATTAAATTTTTTAAGAAGATTAAAAATGAAATATTGTTGATTTCTTCTAATCAAGATAAAAATTTTGAAGTTAACTAATAAATATATCTTGTTTAAATTTAAAATGTATAACTAAATTTACTTTTATTTTACTTTATTTTAAATTTTTAGTAATATTTTTGATAATAATTTAAAATAAAGTTCAACTTAAATAGATTATTTTAGTAATAAAAAATTAAAAAATATGTAATTTTTTCATCTAAAAATAATAAATAAAAAATTAAAGCTCTTATTTGTCTTATTATATTAGTAAATTAAAAAAAATTAGATTTCAAAGAAAAATATAATAGTCATAAGTATCTGATTTCCTAATATTTTCTAAAATCAAGTAATTAAAATTTAAATATAATACTAATATTAATTACATATAAAATTATAAATTCGTATAACATATAAATCAAAAATTAAAATGATTGATAAATTTTGATTGTAAAAGTTAATCTTTTTTAATAAATTAAAAAAATATTTTTTTTATATAAATTTTTAATAATAATTGAAATGAAATTTCAAAAATATAGTTACTTTATATTTATCATAATAAAATTATGACTATTTATTATATTTAAAAATACTATTTAAATAATAATTTTAGTAATAAATAAAAGTTATAATATTTACTAAAAAGTTCATATTACAGTATTATTTTAAATTTAAAATTTAATAAACCAATTTTTTTTAACAAAACCTGATATTAATTTTATATATAATATTTATAAAAGCAACTTTTTAGTTTATATCTGTAAATTTTTTAGATAATTTAAAGTAAATTTAACATAAAGTTTTAAAAATAGATGTTAATATTATTTTTTTTTTTTAGAATAAAAATTAATAATTACAAATATTATTAAAAAAATAAAGGAAGAATGTAATATAATTAAAGTTTTCTTAATTATTAATATAATTATAATAACTTAAAAATTATCATATTAAAAAAAAAATATTCTATATATCTAAGAAGTTTATAAGTATGAAATAATAAAGAAATAAAATTATTTATATAAAAAAAAGCAAATTTTTTTTTTTTAATATAAAATTTACTAATTATTTAATTTTTAAATTATTTATAAAATAAAGTTATAATTTTACAGATTATCAAGGTTAGTATTAAACTTAAATTTAAAATTTTAATAGATATTTTACTTAACTTTAGAAATTATGAAAAGAGAATACTTATAATTAACTATTGTACATATCATTCTTCTTAAAAAGATCAATATTTTTAAATACTTTATAATGTAAATAAAAATAGAATATTCTATTATTATATATAGTTTATAGTCAAAAATGAATTTGCTAAAGCAATAAAAGGTATTTTTAACTTTAATTACATATTTATTTTATTAAATTATTTATCTAATTATTTTTGTATAATATATAGAATCAAAAAATTTTAAAATTAGTATATTATCTGAAAATGTTAAATATTAAGTAATAAAAAAGCTTTTTGATTAAAAAATTAAAAAAAAAGATAATAAAAACTGTTATAAATAAATTTATTAAATATATTATTTAGTAATAAAATTGATTTTTCTTTATATAAACTTAAAAGTTTTATCAATTTTTTATGATTTATTAAAATATAATTCCTTTTATTTTAATTATTTATTAATATATATAACTAATTAAAAATTATCAATTCTATTAAACAAGATTAATATTTATAGAAATTAATACTATTTTCAAACTTTAATTCTATTAAATGATTTATAAAAGTTTATAATAATGACAAAATTAATTATTTTATAATTATATATGTTAAAGATCATAAATATCAGACATATTATCTTTTATTCTCTTTTCTCTTTAATATATTTAAAATAGTTATAATATGTGAAAGAAATAACAAAGAAAAATTAAAAAAGTAAGATATAATTTTTGGTTTATTTATATTTGTTTGACTTATCAGTTATTAAAACTTTTTAAAATCTTTAATACAAATAATTATAAAGATTTTAAACCTGATGATCTTTTCAAGAAAATTAATTGCAAGCCAATATCATTAAAAAAGCAATAAAAAAGTTATCTTAGAATCTTTTAATACAAATAATCATGAAGTTTTTGAATTTGATGATTCTTTTAATAAAGTTTAACCACAAGCTATTATTAATAAAAAAGGTAATAAAAAATTACTATAGAATCTTCTAATATAAAGTTTTTAAATTCAATGATTCTTTTAATAAAATTCAATACAAGTTATTATTGTTAAAAGAAATAATAAAAAAGTTGTTTTAGAATCTTCTAAAATAAATAAATATAAAAACTCTAAATCAAACAGCTCTTTTAATAAACTAAAATGCAAGATGAAAATATTAACATTAAGAGAAACAATATTGTAAAGAAAAAATAGAGTTTTTTTCTTAACTAATAATAATAATAATAATATATTATTATTTATTAATATTCTTTTTTAAAGTAATTTTTTAAAAATAATACTTCAAATTATAGATAATTTACATTTTTCTACATCTGAAATTACTTTATTATAATATAAAATTATAGAATATAAATATCTAATTATAGCATTTGATAAATAACAATCATCAGTATCAAATATTATTAGTAATATTAATAATACTTTATCTAATATATAGCAATTATTAAACAATATCTTAATTTTAACATGTTTTACTAAAAGGTTTATCATGAAATAATACGAAAATAACAATAGAAAAAGGGATTTGAGTTAATAAAGAAAACACTTAATTTAGCAATTTAAATAAAACTTATGAAATACATGAAAGGTTTGCTAAGAAGCTAAGGAAATGGAATCTGAAGTGACACAAGTTGTATAAGGTAATAATATTACTTGAATTTGTTTGTACTATTAGCAACCCAATTAACTATTTAGAAAGAAAAGATGAAAGCCTTAAAATTGAAGTAATATACAGTATATATGCTAATCATAAGGGTAAAAAAGGCAAGTTAGATCTGATCAAAATAATAAAGAGAATAACAGTAATGGTAAGGATGATCATGAAGAATTATTATCAAATAAAAAGCTTCGAAAAGCATTACAAAATAAATTCAATTACAATATCTAAGTTGTTTACATCACTTTTTATGATATCGTGTTACTAATAACACGAATTTAATTTTATTTTTATTTAAAAGGTAAGTCGTATATTTAGTGTATTAATTTTTTTTTGAAATAGCACTGCAATTTTTTTTTTTAAAAAAAAAGACTGGTGCCAGACATCACAGGTGTTGTGTGGTTTAGTAAAGTCGTTAAATATTCCCTTCAAGGAATTTATTAAAAGTTTCCAGTTTGTTGATAAATTCTCTAAAGATTTATCAAATTTTAAATGTTAAAAAACGCGTTTTATATAATCAAATATTTTATTTTTGCATTTTTGCAGAAAATTATGTTGGAATTTAGAATTAAAAGTGCTTGCCTTTCTTGTAAATAAAATCACTAAAAAGTGACGAAGGTTTGATTCTAAGTTGATAAATTGATCACGAAACAAAGAACATTCTATAAAAAAAAAACAAAAAAGTATAGTAAAGTCAGTTTACTTATCGGCGAAGTGTAAAAGAAAAAAAAATTGAAAAAAAAAATGAAAATTACTTGATAGATTATTCGAGAGCGATCTCCTTTCCTTTACAATGGAGAGAGTACTTCTTTCTATAGAAAAGTCATCGTTATCAGCACAAATATCCTAGTTCATGCCAAAAAAAAATCCGAATTTCTGGTATTGGTGAAGGAGGGCAAGGTTCAATGATAGTGATTGTGATGATGGTTGTGGTGATGTTGATTGTGACGTCTATAGATTTCAGAATGTAAATTGTAAACGTAAAAAATTAGTATAACACATAATTTATAAAGATTAAAATTTCTGTGAATGTATAAGAAGTTAAAGAATAATGTTTACAGGTTTATTTCGACGACGCCTTTTAGACCAAAACCTCAACATTATAATCAATTCGGTTAAGATTCCGAAGGTTATGTTTGCGAGATCGAGTAGGTGCAATTTTTCGTTGAGATCCTAAACACCAGCAACTCTACTGGTAGAACTATTATCTTCAATGTATGTGTCCCTTCCTTCATAAAAATCTCCAAATAAATCATCATTGAAAGCTCCACCGGCATTGGTGGTGTAGGTGTTGGCGTTGGTGGTGATGGTGATGGTGTTAGTGTTGGTGGTGTTGGTGGAACCTTTACTAAAATCAAAACCAGAATCATCTTCTGAGCTCGAATTAAGCTCGGGTTGAATATGCCATTTTTTGAGTTCATCCTTTGTTATCTTTATTTTATTGTCGAATTTCAGAAAGGGAGAGAAGGACGCGTTCTTTTTCAGACTCATATTCTGAAAGGTTCTGCCTCTATAAAAGATATTAGTATTATTAAATGTAAATTTAAATAATCAGGAATTTACACGCATCCTTTCTTACTTACAATCTCGCATTTCTGAATTATTCCTTTCCAATATTCCTCCAAATTTTTCTTAAATCGGCCACGCTCTGCCTTGACCTATCATAGATGAAAGTTAATGATATGCGATGTTTTATTTAGCGACAAAGGAAGACACATAGCCAGTTTCTCCTCCGAAATCAGCAGACCTTTACTAACGACAAATTTAGGACGCCTGAATAGAGTACTATGGAGTGGTTACCAAGTAGTCATACCCAGTAATTCTTCTGGTTCAAAAACGCGATTGACCAGAAGTTGCCCTGATTTGCAAAATAAAAGATACGCACCTTTCCATTTAAAAAATATCAAATTGCTTTGATCTAATTCCCTTACTTCTGTTAAAAAATGTGACCCAAGCATTGTCAAGTTCTACCGGGGATGGCATAGTGAAGTAACAATAAACTTCTCGGTTATGTTTTAAAAAGCCAAAAAATGATTTGTTTTGGGACTTTTGCGAATATAAAATAAGATCACTATAACCAACATATTTGTCTGATTTCTGAAGTTTTTCGAGCGTTATAAAAAATAGTAGTAGACGTGATAAAAAAATATATTTGTATTAGAAGGATATAATATACGGAATGGAATGGTTAATTTTCAGAAAAATTAAATAAAATATATCGATCCCCCCCCCCCAACAGTCTTCATAGTCTTTATATAAGACACGTTTAACGCGTAACGTGCAAATTACATGATATACGCGATTACTTTAATCGGCAGAGATACGAACTCTATAACTTGTTAATTCAATGGATGAGTCGATCTATGATTAATTAACTCCTTATGAAATCTACTTTAATAGTATATTTAAATTAAAAAATTAGTAAAGTTTACCATTTTAGGTAGATTTGGTAGATTTTCATTAAGGGGTTGATCAATCATAGATCGACTCATCAATTGGAGTTCGTGTCTCCTTTTTGCCGATTAATCGCGTATATCATGTAATTTGCACGTTACGCGTTAAACGCGTCTTATATAAAGACTATGAGACTGTGGGGGATCGATATATTTTATTTTAATTTTTCTGAAAATTAACCATTCCATTCCGTATATTACATCCTTCTAATACAAATACATTTTTTTACCATGTCTAATACTATTATTTATAACGCTCGAAGTATTTCAGAAAATCGAGACAAATATGTTGGTTATGAAGAACTTATTTTATATTTGCAAAAGACCCAAAACAAATCATTTTTTAGTTTTTTAAAACTTAACCGAGAAGTTATTGTTACTTCAACTTTGCCATCGATAAATTGGTGGGAACTTGACAATTCTTGGGTCACACTTTTTAACGGAAGCAAGGGAGTTAGATCAAAGAAATTTTGATTTTTTAAATGGAAAGGTGCGTATCTTTTATTTTGCAAATTAGGGCAACTTCTGATCAATCGCGTTTTTGAATCAGAAGAATTACTGGATATGACTACTTGGGAGGAGAAACTGGCTATGTATCTTCCTTTGTTGCTAAATAAAACATTGCATATCATCAATAACAGGTCAAGGCAGAACGTGCCCGATTTAAGAAACATTTGGAGGAATATTGGAAAGGAATAATTCAGGAATGCGAGATTGTAAGTAAGAAAGGATACGTGTAAATTCCTGATTATGTAAATTTACATTTAGTAACACTAATATCTTTTATAGAGGCATAACCTTTCAGAATATGAGTCTGAAAAAGAACGCATCCTTCTCTCCCTTTCTGAAATCGATAATAAAATAGAGATAACAAAAGTTGAACTCAATAAATGGCACGTTCAACTCGAGCTTAATTCGAGCTCAGATGATGATTCTGGTTTTGAATGTTCTACCAGTACCACCAATACCACCAACAACACCAACACCAACACCAACACCAACACCAACACCAACAACACCAACAACACCAACAACACCAACAACACCAACACCAACAACACCATCAATGGCGGCGGCGATTTCAACGATAATTCCTTTGAAGATTTTTATGAAGGAAGGGACACATCCATCGAAGATAATAGTTCTACCAGTAGAGTTGCTGATGTTTTAGGATCTCAACGAAAAATTAGTAGGAAGAGAAAGAACGCGGCACCTACTCCAGCTCGCAAACATAATCTTCGGAATCTTAACCGAATTGATTATAATGTTGGTTCTTTGTCTAAAAAGCGTCGTAGAAATAAACCTGTAAACATTATTCTTTAACTTCTTTCTTATACATTCACAGAAATTTTAATCTTTATAATTATGTGTTATACTAATTTTTAACGTTTATAATTTACATTCTGAAATCTATAGACGTCACAATCAACATCACCACAATCATCACCACAATCATTATCACAGAACCTTGCGACATTGCCTCCTCCTTCACCAATACCCGAAATTTCGGATGTTTCTGGTATGAATTGGGATATTTGTGTTGATAACGACCTTCATATAGAAAGAATATGTTTGGAGTGCCCTCTCCATTGTAAAGGAAAGGAGATCGCTCTCGAATAATCTATCAAGTAATTTTCATTTTTTTTTCAATTTTTTTTTTTTTCTTTTACACTTCGCCGATAAGTAAACTGAATTTACTATACTTTTTTGTTTTTAGTCAAATTGAAGCTGTTATAATATTAAATTTTAGGAAGAAAAATTTTTATGATGTCACTAGTCCAACTTCTTCCTTTCGAGTTTACTAATAAATCTCGTCGTTGTTTCCTACAATGACTGACATCGTTAGTATTATTGAAAGGTCATTTCATTGGCGCTGAGCGACTAGAAGCGTATACAGAAGCCGCCGAGAGTCTATTGAAGTAGGAGAACATTTTGGGTAGTGATGTGATTTTGCTTTAACAAACCCGTTTCGTCAGTGCTTAGGGATAGTATTATACCTATACAAAACATCTTTTACCAATTTATTTCTAATAATTTTGTAATAGGAAAAAAAAGGCCTGTCAAACATATGCAGTTATTTCTATTAATTAGTCTTAAAGAAAAATAGACTTGTAATTTAAAATTTCTATAAAATAATATTCGGTATGAAAAATTATTAAAATTCATAAACCAGTTTATGTTTTTTATAATAATTAGTTTAATACTTAGTTTATGATAAATACTTATAAATAAACATTTAGTTTATTTTTTTATATCAATTGATAAAGAATTGATTAATTTATATACAGTTTATGATGCATTCCTATTGATAATTAATTAGTGTTAATTTAAATTAAATGGTTTAAAAATGTATAAATCAGCATATATTTCTGAATGATTAGAATCTGATTTAATTAAATTATTAGAAATAGAAATCAGGTTTAATTTCTGAGTATATTTGATAATATATATATGACAATCATCTAATATTCAAAGTTCTATATAGGGATAGTAATTCTTAGGATTTACAGTTAATCTTATAAGATTGTTTTGCTTTAGGCTTTTTTGATAACAAATAAAATTGTAATAATTCTAATATAATGTGATAAAAGAAGAAAATAATAATCTTTATAGATAAAGTGACCCTTTTATCCAATTTTAATAGTAATTTTAAAGATCTAGCTAAATCTAATTAGAAAAATAGAACCTATTACTATTTTAATATTATATAAATTTTAGGTTTTATAGTATATTTTATTAATTTTAATTTATTAACTTTTGTATTAATATAAATAAAATTTTATTTTTTATATATATATATATATATATTATAAATCATTATAATAATAATTTTTTTTTTTAAAATTATAATAATAAAAAAATTGCTTTGATATTAAAATATATTTTATTCATACTCAAAAACAAGTAGATCGTTAACTTATATTTACATATAAAAGTAAAAAATATTTCTTATTTTATAATTTAAATCTTTTTTTTTATTGAATACGTTAAATTGTGAATATTCATTTTATTTACATAAACTTTTCAAATATTTTTTCATACTGGATATTTTTATATTTCACTTAATTCATTTAATAAAATTCACAATTTTTAAATAAATATTACATAATATTTATGTTTAATTACAATATGATAAGATAACTGATAATTTTCAATGCTTTTATTTTAAAATTAATAATATAAAAATTGTTTAATTATATATTTTATTAAACAAATTTCTATTAATTTATTCAAAAAAAAAAATAATAAAAAAAAATAAAGTATTATATTTACATAATACAAACAGAAAGTGAAAAGTAATTAAAAACTTTTACAAAATGTGATTAGTATATAAAATCAAAATAAGAAAATAAGAAGTGATATAAAATAATTAAAGAATTTCATAAAGAAGTTGAAATACATTTAGTAGTTAAAAAAAATTTAGCGTACTTATGCACATAAAAATATTTATTAAGAAAGTTTAAAAAATTCCCTAATAATAATATTGTAAATAAAATAACTCTATATTAAAAATATAATATAAAAGATATTTAACTTTAGATTAAAAGCTTCTATTTAAATTTTATAATCTAATTATTAGTAAAAAATGTTATCAATACTATAAAAAGTATATTCTTTATTAAAAATAATTTAAATTTAATAAATTTATCTATTTTCACTTTTTTTTTAAACAAAGTTCTACAAAGTTTCAGAATTTAATTGATATAGAAAGATGCTAATTGTATAAGTATTAACTATTATTTCAATATATAATCTTTTTAAAAAACAGTATACATATTGTAAAAATATTATTAATTTTTTATAAAATGTGTAAAAATTTGTAATCTATTTTCTATATGACTTATTATCATTGAATTTGTTTATTATTCAGCATTATACTAAAAATAGTTTTAATTTTTGTGACTTTCAAGTTCAAAAAAAGATAATGCAAATTCTTCTGTAATTAAAAGCTAATAATATTTATTATTGTATTATTGATATCAATAATAATATTTTACAAAAGTTATCTAAAAATAAATTTATTATAAAATAGCTCTCATAAATCTTAAATAATAGAATTTATTATGAAAAGTAAGGATTAAATAAACAATATGAAAATTAAAATTGAAGATAATAAAATAAAACTTGTTTCACTTTACAAATATTTATTCTTATATTTATTTACTAGATATAGTGAGAATAATATAATTAATAAAGTTTTTATCAAATGTAATATGATCATTCTGTACATAAAATTAATTATATGATAAAGGCGTTGACATATATTAGCTAATATAATTTTAATATAAGCGTTTACCTTTTACCTCTAGATAAGATAATCATACTTCTGATCATTTGCCTTTTTTAGATTCATAAGTTAAAAGTTAATCAAGAAACACAAATGATAAAAAAATAAAATTTCAATTTGTAAAATTTTAAATTAAATTTTTTTTTATTCCAAATAAAAATTAAAAACATTAAACAATATATTTTCATAAAATTTAAAGTATTAGTTTCTTTAAATATAAAAAAAAGCTTCAATCAGATGATAAGATCCATATGCTACAGGATGTTACGGGATGCTGTAGGATGCTACAGAAGACTTTATTTTATGTGATTTTACTTGAATTAGCTTAATTAATTAATACTAATTTGAATAATTGAGATCTACTTAATAAATCCAAATTGAATTAAGCCCCTATTTTACGTATTTTCTTTAAAACTAACTTGCTATAAAGATTTTACACATTGTATTCAGCTTTCTATTTCATGTCTACAAAACTTTTCATTGAATATTTTAAGTATGAGTTGACAAATCTTTTTATTTAGTCCTAGTTTTAATAAAAAGCCAATATATAAATCGCCAACAAATAAATATCAGGAATTTTCCAATGCTTATGTATATAATCTTATGATAAAGATAGAAAATGGTACTCTAAATCATGCTAATATTTTCTGTGAAGTATCATAAAAATGAAATAAGATTAAAAGTAAAAGTGCAGCAGAAATTGATGATATAATCAGAAAATACTTGACCACTCAATTCAAGCTATATGATATACAAACAATAAGATCAAGATATCCTTCTATGCTTAGAGAAGAATTAACACCTCCTCTTCCTACTATTCATTCAGTAAAACTTATACATACCAGAAATCTCTATTAATGCAACAGCTCAAAAATAGGCAACAAGTAAAATAGTAGTAGCTGAAAAAAAACTTATTGAATCTGAACAAATTTACAATATCACAACCGATCTTTAACTTTACCATAATACATATGAGAAAATAGTAGACCTTTGAGCTCAAATTAAATCAAATCAGAATAGGATTCTTAAATTAAAAAGGAATGCACAATATGTTTAAAATTGCAAAAAAAAAAAACAGAAAATACTTGCTGAAAGACAGAAGGTTATACAATATAATAGACGTCTATCCCTTCTTTTCAAACATCTAGAATTATACGAGCATATTCACAATTTAGTCAAGTTCAGTTTAGCTGATGAGAAATGACAAAGAGAAATGGTGAAAGTTCAGATTATTGAAAATTTGCATAAAAATCTTGAGGAGAAATATAATATCTATATAGCACAGATAACATTAAATAATTATCTGTTGCTATACTAATCCAATTCTATTGTTACAAAAGTTTATCATCATCTAGCATAGATTGCAATAGCTGAAATTTTACAAATGGAGACATGCGATCATTCTGATGGTCATTATTGCTTTGTCTCTGTAAAATATGCAAGACAATTTGCAACTGTCTTTACTAATATATCAGTTATTATCTTTCAAGATGATAAGGCAAAGATAGATCTTAAGGTATCTGCTGTAGGTCAAACCTTTTAAACATTGCAGTCAGTTCATGAGCCTGTTCATGTGACTGATCACAATTTTCTTGTAGGATATAAACAAAAGTTAGTTCTATCAATTTATCTTATAATCAAACTGAATGATTCAAATGATGAACTATAAATAGACCAACTTGCCATTTTTGTATGATGTCAATAGTCCCTTGGTACATCCTTTTTTATACATATGCAAGATCTCAAAAATCTTTCTTTAAATATCCAATATGATGATGTATTGAAGACTGATAGAGAAATTTGACCAATTTGGATTTTATTAGTAGTTAGAGGATCAGATGAGAACCTAAGACATTTAAAAAATATTAAAATATATTGTCATCTTTTTAGAAAATTTAATTTGGGTTATCTGACTGTACGGACATATGCTCTAAGGTAATTCAAATATAATCTAGTTGAAAGGGTATGGTGACACTATCTGACAAGCTAGCAGGTATCATATTACCAATTGATCACTTTGGAACACATTTAAATATACAAGGTAAAGTGATAGATTTAGAGTTAGCTCTTCGAAATTATCAATACGTTAGAGAAGCTCTTTATGATATTTAGCATCGTGATTTGATTTTCAAAAAAAGTGTAGATGCTCAGTATGTTGAAGAATTCATCAATCCATTTGAAAACCTATAATTAGAGGGTATAGAAAAAAAAGATTAAAGAATGAAAATGATAAGAAAAATAAAAAAATAACAAAAAGAAAAGAAAAAGAAATAGACTTAGCTGATTGCTTTATACCATAGTCATAGATTGAAAATCGTTGTAATCTATGCCA